ACTAGGCGGTCACCTCGGGTGCCAAGTTAAGTGGGGTGTGAGATTCGAGGAAAAAAAATACAATAAAAATATACAAATTAGATCACGAAGATGTCATTATTTCAATTCCCGTGCGTGTAGAGGGACTATTAATTATAATTCCTTTCTCAACATTTATAATCGTTCCTCTGTTTAAAAAAAACACGCTTAAAAACAGATGAAGTGGGAAAATATGGGCAACATTTTTCCCCAGTTTACGTAAACCTCAGCCTACATCTGCCCTTGGGGGTCGGGGGTTGCCAATTGCATTGGTTCGCCTAGGGCGCCAGATGCTGGCAGCTCATCCTTGGACCGTCCCTGGGTAAGACTTTTCAATTTGGGCAACGTTTATTCCAGCTAATCATGCATCCCACTACAGACCCCAAAATGAATTGTTAATCTAGATTATTTAAAAAGGGTATAGCTCCAGTGGCTTCCTAATATTGGAAGGAAGACCGTTACACAAGGCCGCAGATGCGCATCTGAGGATACCATTTCACAAATACAGATGAAGGGCATTCTATAAGACATGCTTTGCATCGAATGATTTCGTGGTTTTTGGCAATGACAGCAGATAAAGCTTAGACATTTTCAGGAGTGCGGGAATGTCAAGAGCGGTGAGCAATAAATGAGCACTTGAATGAGCCGTGTGTTTCGACTGAGTAATGATTGAGCACTGAGAGAGGGCCCTGGTTGAGTGCTCAACACTTCTGTAATCTTGTTCCAGATAACGGATGAACACGTGGTGTACCGCTTCCAAGTACTGAATGTAGTTGGGACGGGGTCCTTTGGGCAGGTGCTCCGATGCCTGGACCACAAAACGAAAAGAGAAGTGGCCATCAAGGTGCTAGAGCACACTTCTAGGTAAGTTTGAACAAAGACATGAACCACATCTTGAAATCTGGTTTTGTAACTTGTAATAAGTTGTGCTAATTTACATATTGCAGAGGAAGTCTAAATAGTGATACAATTTAAAGTTGATTTTCTTTAACCTCGTGAGAACTCAAGAGACCAGAACGAGTCTCATTTGTAAGAGTAACCTGGAGCATTCGTCTGCCAGTAGAGGACAATGATCGCTATGTTGCACAATACAAATTGAGGAATTTGTCGAGTAAGTTTCGATATTGGCAAAAATTGTACCCAGATGCAAGCACACAGTGGCATACTCTTGCAAATGACGTCAGGTGATCTTTAGCATCCATCGAAGCAGACAGCATGCATTATTATGGTTATACACCCGCAGTATTAATCATTAATGTCATCAAGCACCGTCAAAATAATGTTTTATTTTTGATCAAGTGGCAGTCTGTAATGTTTATGGTTCCTGCCATGTGAATGTCGAAATGACACCACTGCCCAACAATGGGGATGAGTGCTGCCCTTTTGCTCATTCTAATCTTGCATATGGTAACATGTTCAGGCGCTAAATACCAATGCCAAGGTCTGCTAGCCACGAGGGGGCTTCAGGAGAGATTTTAAATTTAGCAATTCCGCATTAAAGGAGCACGGACCATAGTGGTTTACAATATCGTCCACAGTTTGGGTTGGTGCAGTAGAACACTTTGTACCTTACTCGCCGAACATAGCTGAAAACCAAGGTGATTCCAATCCAGTGGTGAAAATGTTTTTCCTCACTGAGATGCGATGCAGCAACTCCTTCGAGTAACAACCATCGACAATATAATAAATGTTTTTACCCTTTCTGGCAATAAAACAGGCGTTAAGATTATTGATTTAAAGCTTTCGTAACTGCAGGGATTCATATTCTTGGTTCTTTCGGTAAAGTCACCACGTAGAAGGGAAACAATAAAATAATAAAAATATAAAACAATAAAATTCTCACGACGTTTCGACTGCAACACAAGCAATCATCATCCGGTGTGAAAACCACAGCAAGAAAATTTGATGATTGCTTGTGTTGCAGTCGAAACGTCGTGAGAATTTTTTATTTATTCATTGTTTTCCTTCTACGTGACTTTACCGAAAGAACCAAGAATATGTGTTAAGATGTTCAAACCTCAAACAGAATGCTTTTGCAAGGAATCAAGTCTGCATTAACCACACGTATTTGTGGTGAACATGCACAAAACAAACATCCTCTGATAATATATGGCATTGTCTTTGAAACTGATTGAGCCACACCAGAGACAGCTTTTCTTTAGAGCCTAGTCTCAAACAGTGTTAGACCAGAGAATGCCACAAGGCGAACAGCACAAAGACAATGCCACTATCAGGGTATTTATAGCTCGGGGTGAGCAGCTACAATATGGGACCTTTATTGCCAGTATTAAAATAGAAGAATAGGTGTTACCCCTTGCAAAAGGATTCTGTTTGGTGTTTTAAGCCCTTAACACCTGTTTTTTTCTTTGCCAGAAAGGGTAAAAAAACCTATTCTTATCTTATGATACTGGCAAGAAAGGTCCCATATTGTAACCAACGACAACTTCCCAACCAATTGGTCCAGCCTCCCCAGTTGGCCGCTGATCACGTCGACCGGGCAGGGACGATGTTGACGTTGACCGGGATTAAGCGCTCACAGCCATGATTCTGGAGCTCTGTTGACCGCGTCATTCCACGTGTGGCAATGCCTACAAATGTGCAAGACCTAAGAGTGGGGTGAGACTTATCGATGCATTCCTTCCACAGCGAGACAATTGAGGAATGTGAAATGGAGGTGCAGATCTTAAACGCCTTGCAGTCCGAAGATGAGGAAAATAACTACATCATTCGATTCTTCGAATTCCTTATGTTCAGAAACCATCCCGCAATCGTCATGGAGCTAGTCGCGTGAGTAAAAAAAAGAAAAATCACACCCTGTGCACCACCATCGTGTTTATCCACAAAAGTTTATTGTTTTGTTACACGCGGAGGATTAACATTTGATGAATTTCAGATTATTTTTTTGTTTAACCGGGAGAGAACTCAAGTGACCAGGATGAGTCTCATTTGCAAAAGTGACCTGGGGCATTCGTCTGCCAGAAGGGGCGGGGGTGACTAATTCCTATGTTGTACAACGGCAAATAAGGACTTAATGGGTTGTCTAAATAGCTTAATGCCTGTTTCAATGCCAAAAGGG